ATATGATCAGACACTAGGATATGATCAGACACTAGGATATGATCAGACACTAGGATATGATCAGCCACTAGGATATGATCAGCCACTAGGATATGATCAGCCACTAGGATATGATCAGCACTAGGATATGATCAGCACTAGGATATGATCAGCACTAGGATATGATCAGCACTATGATATGATCAGCACTATGATATGATCAGCACTAGGATATGATCAGCACTAGGATATGATCAGACACTGGAATATATGATCAGACACTAGGATATGATCAGCACTAGGATATGATCAGACACTAGGATATGATCAGACACTAGGATATGATCAGACACTAGGATATGATCAGCCACTAGGATATGATCAGGCACTAGGATATGATCAGGCACTAGGATATGATCAGGCACTAGGATATGATCAGGCACTAGGATATGATCAGGCACTAGTATATGATCAGGCACTAGTATATGATCAGGCACTAGTATATGATCAGGCACTAGGATATGATCAGACACTAGGATATGATCAGACACTAGGATATGATCAGACACTAGGATATGATCAGACACTAGGATATGATCAGACACTAGGATATGATCAGACACTAGGATATGATCAGACACTAGGATATGATCAGACACTAGGATATGATCAGACACTAGGATATGATCAGACACTAGGATATGATCAGACACTAGGATATGATCAGACACTAGGATATGATCAGACACTAGGATATGATCAGACACTAGGATATGATCAGACACTATGATATGATCAGCCACTAGGATATGATCAGCCACTAGGATATGATCAGCCACTGGGATATGATCAGACACTGGGATATGATCAGCACTGGGATATGATCAGCACTAGGATATGATCAGCACTAGGATATGATCAGCACTATGATATGATCAGCACTATGATATGATCAGCACTATGATATGATCAGCACTATGATATGATCAGCATTAGGATATGATCAGACACTGGAATATGATAAGACACTGGGATATGTTCAGCACTAGGATTTGATCAGCCACTAGGATATGATCAGACAATAGGATATGATCAGACACTAGGATATGATCAGACACTAGAATATGATCAGACACTAGGATAGATCAGCCACTAGGATATGATCAGACACTGGGATATAATCAGACACTAGGATAGATCAGCCGCTAGGATATGATCAGCCACTAGGATATGATCTTCCACTAGGATATGATCAGATACTAGGATATGATCAGACACTAGGATTTGATCAGACACCGGGATATGATCAGACAGTGGGATATAATCAGACAGTGGGATATGATCAGATACTGGGATATGATCAGACACTTTAATATGATCAGACACTGGGATATAATCAGACACTAGGATATGATCAGACACTGGGATATGATCAGATACAGTGAAACCTCGCTTAACGAGCATAATTTGTTCCAGAATCATACTCGTTAAGCGAAACACTCGTTATGCGAAGCAACTTTTCTCATTTAAATTATTACTAAATACGATAATGCGTTCCATGTAAAAAAAAATACTCACAAAATGTTGTTATAACATTTAATCAAAGAGATATATACTTAATGTTGTGAAGGAGAATGAATCATCTTCATCTTTTCTTCAAACGCGGAACGAACCCACCTGGAATGCGAAATCGATTTGCAGAAAAAAAAAGTCGAAATAATTATGATACATAGCTAATTAATTTTTTTACTAGAAAGATGTCCAGAGACATTTGTTTTTGCAGAGGCTTCAAAATTTGGCGAAAATGCGACACGGCATTATCATTAAATAAATTTGCAGCATAGCCACTTCCTTTTTAGGGTGATTCTTCTCAATGTAAGATACAAAAGTTTCCCGTGCTTTAAGCAATTCTCTTATTTCGCCAGAAGATTGTTGCTTTGCTGTTACCTCCTCCTCCTCTTCTGACAAACTGTCCTCCAAAACTTTTTGCTGTGAAACACAATGCAACTCCATAAGCTCTTCGGTAGTCAGCTCTTGGCTGTGCTCTTCCACAAGCTCTTCGATATCACTTTTATCCACCTACAATCCCATGATAGTGGCCAAAGACACAATCTCGTTGACTACAGGTTCCACAGGTGCTGTCTCCAACCCCTCAAATCACAAATCGACAATGCCTTCCGGCCAAAGCTTCTTTCAAGCAGAAGTTTGGGTTGTCTTGGTAACCCCTTAACACGCCTTGTCGATCATCTTGAGGCAGGCAACGATGTGGGAGTAATTTTTCCAAAACTCTTTGTGAGTGAGGTTGGTCCCTTTAGTCACCTGAAAACAATGTTCGAAGAGTGCTTTAATGTAGAGCTTCTTAAAGTTAGAAATAACTTGCTGGTCCATGGGCTGGAGTAACGGAGCGAAACTGGATCTTGATGAACTTATATTCTTCAGGGAGGTAATCTTGTAGGCCTGAAGGATTCATGTACATATATCACAATATAAAACAAGTTTGAGAAAATGTGTGATCACAAGCGACACTTCGATGCTACTGGATTGGGTGCTAAACACTGACTGATGTAACATGTGCACAATCCGGCACTTCCCCTTTCTACACCACTCGTTATGCAAAACGTCGCTCGTTAAGCAAGTCATTCTTTTACAATTTCTTTTGCTCGTTATGCGAATTATTCGTTATGAGAGGTGCTCTTTAAGCGAGGTTCTACTGTACTAGGATATGATCAGACAGTGGGATATGATCAGACACTGGGATATGATCAGACACTAGGATTTGCAACTTTGGATGCTGCAGCTATTGTTTGCTGACTTTTCTTATTGTTTCTGTAAATGCTGCAGATATTGTTTGCTAACATCTGTTAACGTGTCGGTGGATGCTGCAGCTATTGCTTGCTAATTTCTATTATTGTATCTGTGGATGCTGTTAAATGGGACATCTGTTTTTTTATCTGTGGAAGTTGCAGCTATTGTTTGCTAATTTCTGTTATTGTTTCTGAGGATGCTGCAGCTATTGTCTGCTAACATATATTATTGTATCTTTGATTGCTTGTTGTGTATCAAATTTGTGTGAACTGAGACAGGCATGTTGTCCAGTAATTTCATGAAGTGGTAATGATGCCTGAGTCCACATTCAGACCTGGTACACAGAGTTTTGCATGAATTGAGTTGAGTCACAAGAATAACCATGTATTTGAGAATGAACGGGGAACTCACTCAGTGAATATACTTGGGTAAATCTCAAAGATCAGGGTCGAGAATCAGTAGAGAGGAGATTGCCTTGCTGAGAAGACATGTGAAGTTGTTCTTTAGTTGACCAAGCAATCATTCTACATGTGAGGACCTGATCGTTTCTTGTTGGTGTCTGGTTATTGATTGTGAATTGAAGAGACTCAGGACGGTAGTTCTGGCCGGTTCAATGTGTAGAATTCCTTGTGATTGTATTGACTCGCGAATGTGAGTATCACGGAGACTTAGGAGTTCTTGGAAGTCTCTAGTCAGCTCAAATTGTTTCTGCCTGTGTATTATAACCTATTTGCGATAAAGCTGAGTAGAAGCAATGAGAAATGTCCATTCTTACAGCTAGCCCTGGTGTGAGGGTTAGCTGACGGCCATAGGCAGAGAGACAGTGACAGCCTGTGAATCCAGGAACAGGAGCAAGGTTGATGCTGTGTTTCAGAGTGCCACTGGTAATTATTTTGTGGATGCTTAGTGTATGGTGCAGTAACCTCTTGAATGTGATCATTATGCTATCGGCTGCATCTTGTGGGATACATTATTGCATCATATGGGTTTCCTGTTGGTAGACATGAATGTTCTAATAAATAAAAGTATGCTTTTGTGAGTCGATTGTTATGTTGTGCTGAACTGTGTTACATCTTGTACAGTAAGCTTAAATCATCAACTAGACACTTTGTTGTATATGAGGCATAGTTTTCAATGGCTTTCTACTGTACATCAAATGCAGCATACAGTAATGCTGCAGCTGTTGTTTGCCAACATATGTTATTGTATCTGTGGATGCTGCAGCTATTGTTAGCTAACATCTCTTATCGTATGTATAGATGCTGTAGCTATTGTTAGCTAACATCTCTTATCGTATGTATAGATGCTGTAGCTATTGTTAGCTAACATCTCTTATCGTATGTATAGATGCTGCAGCTATTGTTAGCTAACATCTCTTATCGTATGTATAGATGCTGTAGCTATTGTTAGCTAACATCTGTTATCGTATGTATAGATGCTGTAGCTATTGTTAGCTAACATCTGTTATCGTGTGTATAGATGCTGCAGCTATTGTTAGCTAACATCTCTTATCGTATGTATAGATGCTGCAGCTATTGTTAGCTAACATCTCTTATCGTATGTATAGATGCTGTAGCTATTGTTAGCTAACATCTCTTATCGTATGTATAGATGCTGTAGCTATTGTTAGCTAACATCTCTTATCGTATGTATAGATGCTGCAGCTATTGTTAGCTAACATCTCTTATCGTATGTATAGATGCTGCAGCTATTGTTAGCTAACATCTGTTATCGTATGTATAGATGCTGTAGCTATTGTTAGCTAACATCTCTTATCGTATGTATAGATGCTGTAGCTATTGTTAGCTAACATCTGTTATCGTATGTATAGATGCTGCAGCTATTGTTAGCTAACATCTGTTATCGTATGTATAGATGCTGTAGCTATTGTTAGCTAACATCTGTTATCGTATGTATAGATGCTGCAGCCATTGTTTGCTTACTTCTATTATTGTATCAATGGATGCTACAGCTATTGTTTGCTTACTTTTATTACTGTATCTATGAGTGTTGCAGCTATTGTTTGCTTATTTCTATTATTGTAGCTTTAGATGCTGCAGCTATTGTTTGTTTACTTCTAGTATTGTATCTGTAATCTTCCTGTGTTTTTCTGTTGCTGAACATGCAGCACAGTATGTGTGTTGTTCATTATATGGTCTGCAAAAATGCACTGATTAATATCTTAAAACTTTTTGGATTAAATTCCCCAAATCCAGCCAGTGTGGATGAGAAGATGGATACTTATCTTGGTCATATGAATGTGGAGATGGATGGACGATTTTCCTCCATTCGAACTCAGGAAACTAATTTAGGTAGGTATATGTTTGAATGACCTGATAGAAATGATTCATGTTATTTATTGTAGATCACATGTTGTTATTTTTGACTGATATGGTCACAACTTTAGATACACATTTTTATATTGTTGATCCCCGTTTGTATTGTTGACAGATGTGTTCATAACTTTGGATACTTGTTTGATATTGTAGATCCCATGTTGTTATTAATATTTTCAGTCCCAAGTTATTGTTGACAGGTGTGTTCACAACTTTAGATACATTTTTGATACTGTAGATCCCAAATTGTTATTGTTGACAGATGTATTCACAACTTTAGATACTTTTTTGATATTGTCAATCTCATTTAGTTATTGTTACTAGATGTGTGAACAGCTTTAGATACATATTTGATATTGTATCCTCTAAATGACCCTACAAATTACATGCACATTCATGTGCAGGCATACGTAATACATACATACACACATCATACATGCACATTCATGTTACACACCCAGATAATACATACATACATACATACATCATACACACATACATACATACATGCATGCATGCACGCACGCATGCACGCACGCAGGCATGCACGCACGCACACGCACACACACACACACACAGATAAATATATACATACATACACATCCATATTACATACTCCCATACTTACACACATGCATACTTGCATACACACATACACACCCATATACTTCCACAGCTACATATGCCTACATAGATCCACATTCATACATCCACATACATACATAAATAGGCACACATATACACCCACATACTTACACAGCAACATTTACATACATACATTCTCATACATACACAGACATACCCACAAGCACACACACACACACCTAGATAATACATACATACACACACATAGATACATATATATACATACATACACATCCATATTACATACCCAAATACTTACACACATGCATACTTGCATACATTCATAAATACACATACACCCATATACTTGCACAGCTACATATACCTACATACAAGTGAAAATGCAATGTTGCCGGCCGCTGTTCACAAGAACAAGTGAAAATGCAATGTCGCCGGCCGCTGTTCACAAGAACAAGCAATACACAATGCAGACAGCTTTATGTTAAGAATATAATATAACGGGACACTCCTCTCACGTAGACCTGAGCAAGCATGAATAAAAAGTTGACAAATATGTAGTTGGACTGGACTTCGTAAAAATAACCACAGAAACATTTACTTCAGGCATCATTATAATATATATCTTGTATGTCACAGGGAAGTTTAACACTGATAGTTGGAGTAATTCTACAGGAAAGTTTAACACTGATAGTTAGTATATTTCTAAATTAAAGTTTAACAGGGATAGTTGGTGTGATTCTACAGGGAAATTTAACACTGATAATTTGTGTAATTCTGTAGGGAAGTTTAACGCTAATAGTTGGTGTAATTCTACAGGAAAGTGTAACACTGATATTTTCTGTAATTTTATGGAAAGTATGACACTAAAAATTGGAGTAATTCTACAGGAAAGTTTAACATGGAAAGTTGGTGTAATTCTATAGGAAAGTTTAACACTGATAGTTGGACTACATCTACAGTAAAGTTTAACACTGACAGCTGAGTAATGCTACAGGGAAGTGTAACACTGAAAGAAACTCAATCTCTCGTCAGCTCCCCCACCTCATGTACTCACGACGTCATTTATATCCTGTGCCCATCTTCGTGTCAATTGGCCCCTACCCTTCCTTCCTGGTACCATGTCTTCTGCTAAAATGTTTTTCCAATCCATCATGGTGCTTGATATTGTAGGAAAAGGAGTTAATACCGGGGGAAAAATGAAGAATGTATACATTCAGACCAGCATCAGTGCACGCCAATCCATCACTGGGTGGCTTGATAGAAAAGGATGATTAGAACACTGGTCATACACAGCAACACACGGATACGCCAGGAACCTTTGGAGAGTACAAATGAACAGGTGCCATGGACAAGGGGTGAAGCAAGGTACGATTCCTGATAAACCCATGGCATTGATGGATGTATACAGTGAAGGAGGGAGATGGGAAATAGCACTAGATATGTCAGAATCCCCTGTGAGAATAATGACTGTAACACAGGTGGACAGAGGAGCTGTGAATGTGAGAGAAAGCCGGAGGGACGGGGAGAACAGGGTCAGGATGAGGGCGTCATGGATGAGAGATCACCTAGGTGAGGAAGAGAAGAGGGAGCTGGGAAAAGGGGTAGAGAGAAGACAGTCAGGGCCTGGACATTTTAGGTGGGTGGTCGACAAGAACTTAGGCTTGTCAGTAGAATGTTGACGATAGTAAACCTGATTAAGCTTCGCTAGGAGAGATATTTCTACAGGACGTTTAGAGAAACCTGCTCGTAATGAAGTAACGTCCTAGCAACATGTATTGAAGTTACGAATCATCACTGTATTAAGGAACTTATCATCACATATGAATAGCCAGCAATAATATACTGAAGTGTTGATACTTTTGTTTAAGGGAAATATATTTGTTCTGCATAAATTGACATTATAATTGTTCTGCTTAAATTGACATTATATTATTTAATAAACAAACTTGTTATCCATCGATTTGTTAAGTCACTGATCATGTTGTCAGACACAAGCAGGAGATGTACAAACATTATCGTATATACTATGTTCTGTTTAGGCACATCTGAATGAGCTTGGGAGACGTGGAGGATAAACATGTGGCACAATATGGCCAAAATATTTCAGTGTCCGAGACAGGATACTGTTTATTAGCCAGTCTTCCTTGATGTTCAGATCTTTCAAGATGTCAGTATTTCTCCTCTTAACACTTATAATTGGTGTAATTCTACAGGTAAGTTAACATTGATAGTTGGTGTAATTCTACAGAAGATGGTAGTACTGATATTTGGATTAATTCTACAGGGAAATTTAACACTGATAGTAGGAATAATTTAACTGGGAAATTTAGCACTGACATCTAATGTAATTGTGCAGGTAATTTCATTGCTGAGGCTGTCTTCTATAATTTGACAGGTAATTTTATCACTGATGCTATCCTGACGGCAACAAAAGCTGATTGTGCCTTGCTGAACTCTGGAACCTTGAGATCTGATCGTATCCACCCAAAGGGAGACTTCACAATTCGAGACCTGTTGACAATTCTTCCAATGGTAGACTCTCTTGTAGTGATCAAAGTCACAGGTGTGTTATATTTCTTAATATCACAGCTGATATTAGTTCTGTGTGAGATAGATGTTGTGTGTGAACTAGATGTTGTATGTGTGTGACTGATTTTGTGTGTGAGTCAGATGTTGTATGTGAGATAGATGTTGCATTTGAGACATGTTCTGTGTGAGCTAGGTGTGTGTGTGATTTATATTGTGTGTGTGATAGATGTCTGCATGATACATGTTGTGTCTGAGATAGATGTGTGTGTGAGAGATAGATTCTGTGTGAGATAGATATTGTGTGAGAGAGAGAGAGCTATTGAATTTGAGACTGATGTTGTATGTGAGATAGACATTGTGTTGGAGATAGATGTTGTGTGGGAGATAAGTGTGTGTGGGACAGATTTGCCTGTGTGTTTGTGTGGGAAACAGATGAGTGTGAGATAGTTGTGTGGGAAACATATGTTGTGTTGGAGATAGATGTGTACATGTGAGACAGCTGTTGTGTTTCAGCAAGGTATTGTGTGTGAGTGATTGATGTTGCGTCTGTGATACATGTTGTGTGTGAGATGGATGTTGTGTGTGAGGCAGATGTTTTGTGTGAAAGAGATGTTGTATGTGAGACTCTTGTTGTGTGTGAGATAGACATTGTGTAGGAGATAGTTATTGTGTGGGGGTAGAAGTTGTTTGGGAGATAGATGTGTGGGAGATAGTTGTTGAGTGGGAAGCAGATGTTGTATGGGAGATAGATCTTGAAATGGATCATAATGGCTAAGATTTGGTCAATGTTACATTCCACAGGTGCTCAGTTATTAGAAGCACTAGAAAATAGTGTCAGCAAGTATCCAGTGAAAGAGGGCCGGTTCCCACAGGTGGCAGGAATCTCATTTGGATTTGATCCAACTAAGCCTCCAGGGAAAAGAGTTGGCCATGAATTAGTCAAGGTTCAGGATGAGTATATTGACCCTGACAAGGTGTTTGGAGATTTTCTTTTTTCATGTTTATGAGTGCTGATCATTCTGTTCCAGTATTGAATTTGTATGTATGCGTTGGTACACCTGCACCTTAGTGGACTTGATCTCCTTCAGAACAGGGCCCTTAAATTGCTGACACTTATTCCAGTGTTGTTGCCAGTAATGTAAGCATTCCTGACAGACACTTTCTCTAATAGCCATGTTGAATTTCTTCACTATTACTGAATCGACACCTGTCATTACTAGTTTAAATTGTAAGAAAAAGAGATCCTGGCCAGCAAGATCTGGGTGTATAGAGTGGGTGAAACCAATGAAATTGCTGTTATTGCATTTATTATGATGTACTTGTGAGCAGGAACATTCTCATGATAAACATTCCAAATACTGGTGTATCACTTCTCAGGGTGGTATCTACTGACAGAGTCATGATGATGTTACAGGACAGTTTTGTGGAATTAATTTACTCTAGGTCCTCTCATAGGACACACAGTCACGAACATGTCACCAGACAGTTTTCCAGAATTAAGCATTTACACAATCCTCTAATTGAATGCACTCATTGTCCTCTACTGGGACACACAAAGTATCATTAAATTCTGTCCTCTAGTAGGACACAAAGAATGTCCCTACATTCTGTCCTCTAGTGGTACACAGTGTCCTTACATTCTGTCTTCTAGTGGGACACACAAAGTGTCCTTACATTCTGTCTTATAGTGAGATACACAAAGTGTCCTTACAGTCTGTCCTCTAGTTGGACACACAAATTGTCCTAACATTCTGTCTTCTAGTGGGACACACAAAGTGTCCTAACATTCTGTTTTCTAGTGGGACTCACAAAGTGTCCTAACATTCTGTCTTCTAGTGGGACACACAAAGTGTCCTAACATTCTGTTTTCTAGTGGGACACACAGTGTCCTAACATTCTGTCTTCTAGTGGGACACACAAAGTGCCCCAACATTCTGTCTTCTAGTGGGACACACAAAGTGTCCTAACATTCTGTTTTCTAGTGGGACACACAAAGTGCCCTAACATTCTGTCTTCTAGTGGGACACACAAAGTGCCCTAACATTCTGTTTTCTAGTGGGACACACAAAGTGCCCTAACATTCTGTTTTCTAGTGGGACACACAAAGTTTCCTAACATTCTGTCTTCTAGTGGGACACACACAGTGCCCTAACATTTTGTCTTCTAGTGGGACACACAAAGTGTCCTAACATTCTGTCTTCTAGTGGGACACACACAGTGCCCTAACATTCTGTTTTCTAGTGGGACACACAAAGTTTCCTAACATTCTGTCTTCTAGTGGGACACACACAGTGTCCTAACATTCTGTCTTCTAGTGGGATACACAAAGTGTCCTAACATTCTGTTTTCTAGTGGGACACACAAAGTGTCCTAACATTCTGTCTTCTAGTGGGACACACAAAGTGTCCTAACATTCTGTCTTCTAGTAGGACACACAAAGTGTCCTAACATTCTGTTTTCTAGTGGGACACACAAAGTGCCCTAACATTCTGTTTTCTAGTGGATCACACAAAGTGTCCTAACATTCTGTCTTCTAGTGGGACACACAAAGTGTCCTAACATTCTGTCTTCTAGTGGGACACACAAAGTGTCCTAACATTCTGTTTTCTAGTGGATCACACAAAGTGTCCTAACATTCTGTCTTCTAGTGGGACACACAAAGTGTCCTAACATTCTGTCTTCTAGTGGGATACACAAAGTGTCCTAACATTCTGTTTTCTAGTGGGACACACAAAGTGCCCTAACATTCTGTTTTCTAGTGGATCACACAAAGTGTCCTAACATTCTGTCTTCTAGTGGGACACACAAAGTGTCCTAACATTCTGTCTTCTAGTGGGACACACAAAGTGTCCTAACATTCTGTTTTCTAGTAGGACACACAAAGTGTCCTAACATTCTGTCTTCTAGTGGGACACACAAAGTGTCCTAACATTTTGTCTTCTAGTAGGACACACAAAGTGTCCTAACATTCTGTTTTCTAGTGGGACACACAAAGTGTCCTAACATTCTGTTTTCTAGTGGGACACACAAAGTGCCCTAACATTCTGTTTTCTAGTGGATCACACAAAGTGTCCTAACATTCTGTCTTCTAGTGGGACACACAAAGTGTCCTAACATTCTGTTTTCTAGTAGGACACACAAAGTGTCCTAACATTCTGTCTTCTAGTGGGACACACAAAGTGTCCTAACATTCTGTCGTCTAGTGGGACACACAAAGTGTCCTTACATTTTGTCTTTTAGTGGGACACACAAAGTGTCCTAACATTTTGTCTTCTAGTGGGACACACAAAGTGTCCTAACATTCTGTTTTCTAGTGGGACACACAAAGTGTCCTAACATTCTGTCTTCAAGTGGGACACACAAAGTGTCCTAACATTCTGTCTTCTAGTAGGACACACAAAGTGTCCTAACATTCTGTTTTCTAGTGGGACACACAAAGTGCCCTAACATTCTGTTTTCTAGTGGGACACACAAAGTGTCCTAACATTCTGTCTTCTAGTGGGACACAGAAAGTGTCCTAACATTCTGTCTTCTAGTAGGATACACAAAGTGCCCTAACATTACGTTTTCTAGTGGGACACACAAAGTGTCCTTACATTCTGTTTTCTAGTGGGACACACAAAGCGTCCTAACATTCTGTTTTCTAGTGGGACACACAAAGCGTCCTAACATTCTGTTTTCTAGTGGGACACACAAAGTGTCCTTACATTCTGTTTTCTAGTGGGACACACAAAGTGTCTTAACATTCTGTTTTCTAGTGGGACATACAAAGTGTCCTAACATTCTGTCTTCTAGTAGGATACACAAAGTGCCCTAACATTACGTTTTCTAGTGGGACACACAAAGTGTCCTAACATTCTGTTTTCTAGTGGGACACACAAAGTGTCCTTACACAGTATCCTTTACAGACATACTCATGATGGATGAACCCGTCAGTGTCAATGAACACATTCACGCCACTGCTCAGTCCAGAAGTATATACAAAACAGTCATCCTGATGACAGACCTGTAATCAGGAATTTTGTCAGTAAACATCATCAGGAACATTGCCAGTGTTGTGTGCTGAACTCACTTTGCTATTCATGTGTACCAGAGGTCAGAGGCATGATCGCCTATGCCAGTTGTAAAAGTGCTAGATGATGATGACAGAGACAAGTGCAAAAGGTCCATGCTACTCGAGGATTGTGGGACAAGGGTTTCTTGAGATTAACAGTGGCTCCATAGGTATTGAGACCCACGTGTGACCGGACACTGAAGGTGAACTCCTGCCTAAGTCAGTGCCTCTCAGTCAGTGAGAATGTCTATGTATTCAGATGTATTTATGGGACAGCTATTGTTTGTATAGGATAATGATATTGAACGTATTGAATGATATAATGACATTATGCAGATGATTGTGGATGATTTAAAGACATTGTGTGCCTGATATAATGGCATTGTGTGGATGATTTAATGACACTGTGTGGATGATTTAATGGCATGATACATTTTTAAAAAGGGTATTATAAAGACAACGTTTTGTCATGACACTGTGTGAATGTTTGAATGACATGACATTATGTGAATGATATGGTATGAATGATATTTTTTGTGAGTTTGTGAATGACATTTTCTGAATGACAATATGTGAATAACAATATTTTATTGATATAAAATAAAAATAAAAAAGTGATGAAGTAATAATGTAATGATTAATGATTTGCTGCAGGAATATCTTTTGGCAACCAAGGAATATTTGGCTCAAGGAAAAGATGGCTATGATGTCTTCAAAAATTGTCCGATCGTGGTATGTATTGTATTTTCTCACATATTTGTGTGTACTTACAGACATGATTATACAGTGTATTCACAGACATGATTATATGGAGTGTCTTCACAGACATGATTATATGGAGTGTCTTCACAGACATGATTATACAGTGTCTTCACAGACATGATTATATGGGGTGTCTTCACAGACATGATTAAACAGTGTCTTCACAGACATGAATATGAGTAGTGCACTCACAGACAGGATTATATGCAGTGTGTAGTCACAGACATGATTATATAGAGTATGTAGTCACAGACATGATTATATGGAGTGCCTTCACAGACATGATTATATGGATTGTCATCACAGACATAATTATATGGAGTGTGTAGTCACAGATACAATTATGTGGAGTTTGTACTCACATACATGATTATATATAGTATACTCACAGACTTGATTGTAAATAGTGTACTCACAGACATGATTATATGTACTGTACTCACAGACATGAATGTATGTAGTGTACTCACAGACATGATTATTTGGAGTGTGTTCACAGACATGATTATACAGTGTCTTAACAGACATGATTGTGTGGAATGTTCACAAACATGATTATACAGAGTGTCATCACAGACATGATTATACAGTGTCTTCACAGACATGATTTTATGGAGTGTGTTCACAGACATGATTCTCTTGAGTATCTTTACAGACATTATTTTATAGAGTGTGTAGTCACAGAACATGATTATGTAGAGTGTGTTCACAAGACATGATTGAATGCAGTGCAATTACAGACATGATTATATGAAGTGTGTAGTTGCAGACATGGTTAAATTGAGTGTGTTCACAAGACATGATTATATTAAGTGAAGTCACAGACAAGATTAAATGGAGTGTGCAGTCACAACATGATTATATGGAGTGTGTTTACAGACATGATTATACAGTGTCTTAACAGACATTATTGAGTGGAGTGTGTTCACAGACATAATTATAGTGTCTTAATGTACATGATTGTGTGGAGTGTGTTCACAACATAATTATACAGTGTCTTAATGTACATGATTGTGTGGAGTGTGTTCACTGTGACGTTACGCTCCACTCCCTTGGAAAGTACAACACTTTTGTGTGACGTCCCGGGTCGTGGGTTCTCTGGATTTGGGTTTAAATGATTTATATGTTAAGTAGTGATTTTTCCTCTTAACACATCCCCTCCACCAGATTAACTGAACTAATATCCGGGCTATGTTGCTCTCAGACAAAGTCCTGGATATCCAAGAAAACAGCCATATTGGCTCGTTATTTATATTAACTTTAGCTGAACTTGGTACCCACAAGAGAAGGAAATGGGTTTTAGATGTCTATATATATATATATATATTTATATTGAATGATTCACTAGACAGGGCAGTTGACCCAATCCGTCGACCTTCTCTTGGTACAGAATTATTATTATTATTTAATGAGCCCCCACCAAATGCTATTCTATCTTAACAGTTTAATTAAACATGTAAGAACAGACACACTTGGAATTATAAAAACTGATGCAGGATAAGACCATATAATTGATTTATTAGCCTAGCAATCAGAGTATGACATTAGTCATCATTATTGTTATAATAGATAGTGATGGTATGGTGATAATGAGATGCTTCAGCTAGATAACTGAGCACCTAAGATTAGAGTAACTGATAATGGTGGTGTTTAGTTACATAAATACATGTTACATAACTTTAGAAAGTGGAACCTCTGAGAGTCCTCATGTTGAGTCCCTTCTTAGCTGTTCCAATCTTTCCGCCCAGTTCTCCTGGTCCTTCCACCTGGTTCCCTGGTTCCCACCTGTTTCTCAGCTGGCCGAGTTCTAGCACAATGTAGTCTCGTGACCGTGATGACCCTCTATTTCTGTTCTCAGAAGAGACTGATCCTCACCCACATGGGAGCTGCAATAATGGAAACACACACATACGTGTAGTATCTTGACTTACACTAAGAATACATGTGTCAATTAATACAATATATAATAAAACATTATATCTCATCACTCCTCCTCATATTCCACATTCTCTCCAGTCTAATCTGAAGGTCTTTGTGTCTCACAATCGACGTCTCACATATCCTGCCTTCCTTCTAAGGTTCTGTCATGATAGTTGACTTTCTGTTGTCCGTCATCACTCAGACTTCCAACTTGCTGACATTGATTTGACATAAACATGTGGCGCAGGTTATGTGCTGAACACGCCAAACATTTTATACGTGCATGCTGTCCTGAATATTATCTTTCAGTGACAGTGAATAATATACACTCATGATTCTTCCCCTGGGGTTATAAATCCCCTGTTTAGGTGAACACATTAGGTGAGCACATGGTGGGCACACAAAATGTAACAGCATGGCTGCATATGTGGGCATCATTTCCCACAGTCCAAACTCATGTTTTGGTTGATGGTTGAAACATTATAATTTCATTACATTTCATTATACAAGTCTTATTTTATAAACATGAAAACATACACTGAAAAACATGTGCCACAAACATACCAGAAATAGAAATAGTTTAGCAGTTCCCTAACTGAGATACTGAATACTCACAAAGGACTATTTCAAGCAGAATGTGTAGACAAATTAGGAAAAGGTAGAATAGATTTTAGCTAACTCCCTAACCTATGTATACAAGATTGAAAATAATTGTACAGGCTTACCTGGAAACTTCCAGCTATCGCCAACTAGAATCAAACCATTAGAATTACCTCTAAGGTCGACCTGTTTGTTTGCTCGTGGCAGCGATTCTGACAGAAATTGAATTGAATTGAATTTAGAAAACAAAAATTGCAAAACTCCTTGACTCTTTCAGTCTGCTCCTGGTTGAGCCGTGACTATATCAAGTCCTTGTTTATGTGCTGACTCTAGGTCGTTTTGTTTCTTGAAGGCGCTTGAGTGTGCCTTGGTTACCGATTTTCTTGCTTGTCTTGGTGCGAAGTAGGCTGCATTGGTGGGGGAGAGCTAAAAGTCCTGAGAAGGACGATTAGCGAGTTCCGGGCGCGGCAGAGTGGGAGATTATCTGGCTGAAGGCCGGTCGCTGTTGATCGGTCATGCCTGGCTGGTTTTTGGCAAGTGGTCTTTCCGGAGCGGTGGGCGTGGTTTGGGGTGTCATGGCGGCTTGGTCATTTTTGGTTGGCTGGTGACTTTGTGGTTTTTCGATGCGGACTGGCTCGTCTGCTGGGTAGGATTTGAACGGTTATTCTTGCTTAATTCTTTCGGCGCCTGTTCGGTGTTCTATGCGTCCATTGTCTCCTCTTTGTCTCTTGTATTCGCTCCTGGGCACCTTCCACCTGCTTGTAGAACCTGTACAGTTTTGACATGTAGGCTTTGCTTTCGTCGTCGAATTCGAGATTGCTGTTGGACCATATGTCGTCGTCGTAGATGATATAGTATTCGCCTTTTATGAATTTGATCTTGAGCGGGATACCCTCATGTGAGTTGAAGGTTTGCACAATTTCCCTTAGGCCGTCTTGGCTTATGTCCTCGGGGATTACTATTTCTTTTGTTTCAGGACGGGCTGTGGCCTCGTCTGCGGCTGGGGACGTTTCCGTATCTACTGTTTCTGTGTCTTCATCGGAATATATCTGGTCGGTTTCTTGCTCAGATTCATAGTCTGGTTCCGAGCTATCCATTTCTGTGCCCTGGTCTCTGTGCTCTGGTGCCTCGGTCATCTGTGCCTGGTTTTTCGTTGTTCTGAGTTTGTCAGTGCAGGAGCTTTTGTCAGCTCTGCTGATTGCATTCCTGGCGGTGTTTTTTTTCTTTTTCTAGCAGGGCACGTTCTGACTTTATGGCTTGTGTGGCTGCTTCGGCCTCTGCGCTCACTTGCACAAGTGTGGCGACTTCTCGGTATGTGGTTTCGCGTGCACTAGTTAGTTCGGCCAGCTCCTTTCTTCTCTCCTCCCTTCTTCCTGTCGGCGCTTATCGTCTGCTATCTGGGTGTTTTCAAGCCTGGCGAATAGAGCATTGATGTTCTCTTTAGTTGATTGCGCTTGGTTAGCATATTCGGTATTCAGTCTTGTTTGTGTGGCTCTCTCCTCTCTCAAGGTTTTAATCTCCCCTAGCAACAGGGAGATCAAATCGTGCGTCTCTGCTCTCTCGGGCGGCGGCGATAACCTTCACCTTCTGCAGTTCAGCCTTCAGGTCGGTTAGCGCGCTCATCAATTCTGGGTCTCTTGCGGTGATCTCCTTCCTTTCTGATGCTCTGTTTTGGACTGGGCGACTGGGTAGGCTTCTTCTTGTGTCCGGTCTGGGTGCCTCGTACCTTTGCTGGTGTCTGGGTCCGGCATTATGCATCTCTCTCTTTATCTGCTTGAGGTACGGACATCCCAGGTACCTCGCACTGTGGGCTCCTCCGCAGTTCGAGCATCGTCTGATCGGGTTAGGTTTTTTGAAGTCAGTGTCCCTCTTGGCCAGGGGACACTCCTTAAATTCATGTGCTTGGGAGCAGTACCTGCAAGCTAGGCTGCTGCGGCAGGCTGCGGCTGTGTGCCACGCCTTGTTGCAGCGCGAGCACACTGGAGTATCTCTGGACTGGTGGCTCCCGGTCGCTGCTGCTGCCTGAGTGGGCGGGTGTAGGTGGGTCCCTGCGCCACGACTGGGGCGGCTTCTGGCTGTGATGTTGTCTCGACAGGGGCTCCATCAGCAGCTGGCGGCGTCTGGGTAGGTGTGGCTGGCGTCTCGATAGGGACGTCAGTCAAAGTTGGCATCGTCTGCACCGTAGGGGCTGGTGCGACGTCAGGTGAAGTCTCCTTATAAGCCGATGTAGCTCTGGTGTCACGGCGCTGGATCGGGTTCTTCTTGCCACGGGCCATGGTGGATGTGGCTGGCAATAGGCTGTTCTAATCGGGCTGCTGTTTGATTGCTAGGTCCCTTCGGAGTCGGCAAGGCTTGTTAGAGTATCCTAAAAAGGACACCCAAGCGTGCTTTCTCCTTAGTTCTCTAGCAATCGTTTAAAATGCTGGCTGGTATGACTGGCTCTCAAATAA